TCATGTCTCGCCGGTTAGTATCGATCGATGGAAAGTGAGGTATATCGATCGATGTCGGATGAAGGGTATCGGTCGACGAACGGTTGTTGATGTCGAGCGATGTGACGGTGAGAGTATCGGTCGACGTTGAAGGTGTCTCGGTCGACTGTGGTAGGCAAGTTTTGGTCGACAGGGATGTGTTGATGTCGATCGATGAGGAGCGTAGGTCTTTGCGGATGCTACGTTCCAAGCCGTGAAGATATTCTGAGTACAAGAGGTTTTTTGTCCATGTTGCTTCTAGTACTGCTGGGCATGTACCTGAAAAAGACAAAAAAAAAAAAAAATTGGTGTCAGAAGATAATTAAACAATAAAAGAAAAATAACCTAGACCTAATCAGATTAAATCTAATGTTATCAATGTTCCCCGGCAACGGCGCCAAATTTGATATCACTCAAATCTTTAACCCTACGTGAATTACTCTCTCAAATAAGAGGTTCAGTTGTAGTACTTAGGGATCGAATCCACAGGGAACTAAGGAATACAATAGATATAATCTAAATGATTATGCTAGGTTGAAAAGGTTTAAAATAGTAAAGTTGCAGTTTATAAGCAATGGTAAGTTGATTAAGAGAATGGATTTCAGGTTTGAAACAATAAAATAAAATAGTTAGATTTAAGGTTGCTATTCAGATAATCAGGATTATAATGCTACAGATGTTTTAATGAATTGCTTGCAAGATATATGAGAACTTTGATTCTTAGATAAATCAAATAGCAGTCGCTAAATAGACATATCCATTGATCTTATTGCCAGCAATATAGACCGATGTTTTGACAGCGATATCGGACGATATGGGTTGCTGTCGATCGATGACTCTATAGGAGCATCGATCGATATAGCACAAGATCGAATCAAAACTGTGTTCACCAAAATCATAGACTGGCTCTCGCACAACGCTAGAGGATCTAAGCGTATGCCAAATGATTTCAGGACAATGATAAACAAGTTAAATCACATCCATGATCATACTCTAGGTAGCTACTCTACAGTAAGCATTAGGGTTCATTTGGATAATGAATATCAACAATTCAACATTTCATAGTTGGGGCTAATCGCTCATAACTATTTGAACCCTAAATCTAACAAAGAGATCTACTCAGACATAACTGAGAGATTCATGACAACTAGGTAATAAAAGAAACTCATAGATAGAGGACTGAACTTTTGGTTCTTGGAACAACAAATCTCTTTGTGTGTTTCCTCTAGATCTAGAATTCTATAACCTTTTAGAAATTAAGATGAAAAGAAATACTTTATAGAATAGAACAAAGTAACAAGAAAAGTGTGCAAAGCTTTTCAAGTACAAAAGGTATCAAAAGATATTAGAAACACAAAAGCATGTAAAGCACACCTTGCCAAACACAAAGGCAAAAACTATAAAAAAGAGTTCCATTAGGTCAGGGGCATTTTTGTAATATTGGGAAGACTTGGGCTTCAAGTCGGCCAAGTTGAACTTGTTCTCCACGCATCATATCGATCGATGGTACATGGTGTACATCGATCGATGGATTATCTCGACTTCATCTTCAATAGAAGCGTCATCGATCGATTACACAGGGTGTGTATCGATTGATATGTGTCCTTATTTTCTGATCTTCATAGTCATCTCAGAATACTCTCCTTTAAGCTCCAAAAGGGCATCAAATCATCATTTTACTCCAAAGTGCTCCTGAACCTGAAAACATACCTAATAGACTCCAAAACATATAAAAAACTCATAAAAACATATCAAAACCATGGCTAAAAGCGGGTCAAGATCATGGTCTATCAACGACTTTGGTCAAGACACCAAACATGTCGTCCCTTATTTCTTCTGAGTATGTTCCTCTGAAACCTCTGACTCAGACAACCATGATGATTCCTCTAAGGTAAACTCACACACGCTTCTCCTAGCTGTGGTAGTGAATCTATGTTTCCTGAACACGTGTTGTCCAACCTGTTCAACCGGATTCTGCATGCGCATTTTTCGCCGCTTTTAACCAGAATCTACAAGAAAACTATAACCTTGAATCGACTTCTCCCATGGCTTGTTCTTGTCACATACACGACCTAAACAGAGCTGCTACATGTTGTTACTACAAATGTCCATTTGCTTCAACATATCCTTGTGTAGGTCTTTACACAATTTTCACTTGCTCTAGTTCTTTTTTTCGTGGACTTACAACATGTTTCAACCAACCAGAAACATTACATCTCATGTACCTAATGAGATTGATTCCTATTCTTGCACTGACTCAAAACAGAAAACGACATATGTTCTTCACATCATTACCACAAGAAATCAACATGTGTTGTTGCTACAAGCTCTATTGTGATCTTTTAGCTCTGATCATCCCAGCTTGAGCTTCCTTTTAACCACAAGAACCTAATCCTCAACCTCTCTGTGACTGAACCTGCAACCATGCAACTCAAATCTTCTTAACCGAACCGAATTTAAAGCCTCAAAGTACCAACACTTTGTCTCCTTCCAAACTTGATCAACGACTTCTCACGTTAAACACTTCTCTGCAACTTTCTAATCAAACCCGAACCTTGGAACCACTGATCAAAATTCGAATAGCCTCTGAACACACATACCATCTTCAACTTCTAAGGCGTCCCCTAGACCTGGGATAACAGAGTGTCACCAATTTCCATTCTTTACACCTTTTTGAAATTGCACTGCATATCTCTTCCACAAACAAACTTGATCAACGCACAATCTAACCCAGACAGAACCTTGATCATCTTTGGCAAAGACAACACACATACCTTGTGATTCAGAAAGCTTCAGTTCCTTACACGTTGCAAAATCTGAGTAACCAGCCATCACAACCTTTCTTGTGACTCCATTGGAATGAGACTATTTATTCTGAAGATTTAACCTGATAAACTGATGACCTGACTTTGATTCCATCTCTTTAAGCCTTGTTCTGACTTAATATGAATCTGTCTTCAACCTGAGATATTCTCCATCTCAAACAACCATCAAATCAGTCTCTAACCATGCAGACCGTCACTGTTCTTGAACACCCTCAATTGTGCAGTTGTTCTTGCTTCAGTCTTCGAATCTTCCCATTCCTGCAAACCCCGCAGCATCTATTACTTCCGTCTGATATCACAGACCAGAAACCATTAGATCCGATTGAACATTCTTCTGTTTCCGACATTTCCTTCTCGTACCACACACGAACGTCATCTTCTTCTTTCTCTGATGTTTCCTATCCTTTAACATCATCTCTGATTCGTTATACTTGAATCCATGACGCGATCAGAACTACAAATCCTCTGATTCTAGTTCTTCAGAAACGATCCAGCTTCGACCTTAGACAAACCCTATAATCGCTAAACCCGACACTCTGATATAACAACCTTGAGTTCTGATACCAATTGTTGGGGAATAATCCCAAGAAGCTTGTTGCGGAATCTACAAGCTCTTATTCCACTTGTTCAGGATTTGTCTGTTCCTAAGAAGCTTACCGTAGTTTTTACCGCAAAACTAGTCAACTAATCAAGTAAGCGGAATACGAATCAAGCACAGAAAGAAGGAACACAAGACACTTTTGTTAACCCGGTGTTCACCTCCTTTCCTTGGTATGAAGAAGGAGCTATATATCACCGGAGAAATAAATCGGCCTCTCAACCTTTCATTATATCAAACACGAGAGTACAATATGCAGAGGTTGCAGTTCTTGTCATCCTCCCTTGATCTCTGTTACAAATTACATAGAGATACAATTATGTAGGAAAGAGCCTGGCTATGCTACCGAGAACCTATCTTCGCTCTAGTTGCCTCTCTTTAGACCCAAACCCTGGTCTCGAGCTCTGTCACGAGCTCTCACTCTTTTGTGCCTCTCCTCCGTGTTTTCTTGTGTCTATCTTGTGTTAGGTTTTCTCTCGTGACCTCTTCTCCTGATATAACCAGAACTTGACCTAATGGGATTTGTCAACTATGTCCATAAATCATACTCGCGTCACTTGTTCAAGTTAGTCCAACTTGAATAAGTCCGATAGGCTTGACCCAACCTCTTTATTTGATGTCCCATAGTTCACCGATGGATCTACGTCTCTGGGGTCTGGCAAGGCAAGACACTAACTTTCTTAGTGTACAACACACGAGCCTTGCTTTTATATTAGGTAAGGTTAGTGACAACTGATAACCGGTTTTAATCTAACTGTGAACCATGAATAATATTTAACAGGTTGTTTTAACAAAAATGCCATATAACCCAATTGTCAATCTTGACGCAATTCAAGCTTCCAATATTGATGTTTCTTCATCACCAACGTAACAGACATCAATGATCTTAGATATATGCTCAAGTGGATCCTTGCAGAACAGCGGAATCCCTCGGATGGCTTGAACCCGGACCTACTCAACATAAGACTTAACAATAACCAATAACCCTACCCTAAACTGAGAACTATGCAGAACCAGATCTCTAGCCCCTTGGAAAGAAAGTAACATTGGTCCGTAGTACCAATAGTATTATCTCAAATTCGTCTGTCACATCTAACCGAATTCGTCTGTGAATTTCTCTCTTTCTTGCTTTGTGCTAGATATAAGTTTTGGAAGTTTTAGGTTGGGTTGAGATTGATTCTAAATCTGTGTTGCTCATGTGTATGTCAAATGACTTGCTACCTAGGTGATCCAATTATTTCAATCAAAATCTACACAACAGATTTTCTCTTCACAAGCCAAGAAGGACAAACAAATTTGTTATTAGACTGAGAATGACTCCTTTGTTTATTAATCTCTTTCTATAACATCACACAATATTAGACAAACTTTTAGATTATTGTTTTCTCGAATACGAAAAGAAATAAAAACGGCGCTTTACAATCCATCTTCTTTATGCTCCTAGCCTTCACTTAAAGACCACCCCCAAAGTAAAATTGTCAGCTTCTTTGCACCTCCAAGAATGTAATTACAGAACAAAGGTGTGTTTGCACTTTTTTTGTAGAGATTCATTGCTCAATTCACATCGACAGAGCTGCGTAGAGAAGTTGGTTCCAAGTATCTGGCAGCCCTGGGAGGCACCAATGGCTACAATCATTTCCTCCATCGCCACCAAATGTAGATGGATGAGCATCTTTTCTCAGCTGAGACAGAGTGGTGATATCAAGCAAGTACACACGCGTTTTCATCGCTCCCAATACTTTGGACACAACTCCGGCTGATGCAGGCTGGCCACTTGGGTAATTTGATCCACCTAACGGCTGCATTTGTCCAGTACAACTCTTTCTTGGCTCGTTCCATTCCCTTCCCCTGTCACCCACAAGAAAGACATAACATCGGTTTAGGTTTGTGCTTGAACGCTATCTTTCTTTAACCATTGAGAATGACCTAAATACATCTCAAACGTTTGAATTTGCTTATGTGGCTTAATTTATATTGTTATAATAGCAAAATCTTACATTTAGTCAGTGGCAAGTTAATAGACTTACTCATAGTGGGTGGGAGAAATGCCTTGGAAGAAAACTTTGGTTTTGGTGGTATCGACATTTTGGTCAACCCATCGACCCCAAGTGCTAAGTCCTTTGTAGAAAGCATCCAGACGGTTCATGTCTCTCATCAAAGACGACCCATCTCTAATGTAATCCCACCTATAAAAAGAACAAAGATTCAACAGTCATGAAGGATATACCGGTTGTAGATTAAAGATGTTAAATTATTGCTACGAACCCTTGAGAGTTTCCTTTATGAGTCCACCAATGCCAAGAATTAAAGACAAGAACGTCCATGTTTTTCCAAGCATTAGCACCTCCTTCAATAGCCCCAAGGTTAAGCACACGTCCTGCTTTCTCTCTGGATATATCCACTATGTATGGTGTTCTGTATAGATATAACGTCACTCCATATTCCTGTTTTATATAAAAGTAGAAAACATCAGATTCAGTGCTATATAATATTAAAAATATCTATTACCATTAAAAATATAATTATTGAATGAAAGAAAAAGGTTTTGCAGAACAAGAAGAATAGTGAAAAGTAGACAGAGTGAAAGGGAAAGAACAAGTTGGACTGTTGGAGTTGTTGTTAGTGTACTTCCTTTACGTATTACGTCCTTTTGTATTTGTTTTTATTGTTTTTTATTTATGGTCAAATTGTTTCTCAATTATAGAAAATAAAACCATGAAAAAAAAAGACACAAAATCTTCACAGCACAGTGGCAAACAAGTAGGGTAAAACTTTATCTAGTCTTTTTAACAAATAAAATGATAACAATAGAATGATTAAAATGGAAGAAGACATGTCATTTCATATTGTTTTCAGTTTTGCACTTGATGAATGATAAAAAACTTTGCACTACTCTGATAAAGATGAAAAAATAACTTTCGAACTAATTAAAACAAATTATTTTTTCACTGAATAAGAAAAAAGACGATAAGTATCAATCGAAAATTATCTATACCTATTAATACTCTGGTATGTGTCACTTTTCTCATAATGCAGAATTGTAGATGACGGATCAAACAAACTTTCCTATTAACTAATTAGGCAAGTGGATGTATGATGATAAGCATTTAGCACCAAACAGCTTTTTCAAATCTTTTATACTAATAATATATTATATGGTCCGTGACTAATAAGCATTCAGTAGTTATGACAAGCCAATTCATTTTCGTTAATGACAACTATTCCTCGTGAGGATTGATAATTCGATTTTGTATTTATCCTAAGAACACAGTGTCATAACTTTATTCAAGAAAGAGAGACCTGAAATGTGATAGTAGAGAGTGGGGTACGCTTGAGAAAAGTGTACTTGGCGTTTGGTACCGACGCATGTATCATACAACCCAACGATTCCCACATGTTCAGACTCAGTGAGTCTCCCACGAACATGACTCGCTTCCCTCTCCATCTCCTCAGAAACGCCGCACCGTCGAACCTAATTACGCAATTAACCATTAATCATCATGCGTTTACATCTGACTCTAACATATCACATCTCATTTTCATTGTACACTACCCCCATTTTATTCATGACTGCATTTTCTACTCTATTTTGCAGTGAATTTTGTAGTAGGGTTAGAGATGCTATAAAAAGAATCCACTTGATCAAATTTAATACAAAGTTACAAACACTGTTTTCATTTGTAAAAAGAATATAAAACATTGTCACTGAAATGCTAGACAACCACATTTACGGTTTACCAAACAAAATAGATATATACATATCTACACCAACTTCTAATAATTATACAATATATTACATATGTAGGAGATTATATTAATTAAATTATAATTTTTAGCCAAAAAAAGTCTGGTAAATAGAAAAAAAGTTATAAGCACTGCATGTAATGAAATTTTATAAGTATTACCCATCACTAAATATCTTGCTAACTAGAGTGCTTAGCTCAATTTAAATGTTTGTTAAAAAGGTTGGCCATACAAAACTAAATGTGTTTAATTAAGTAGAAACCTTGGGATGCTGCAAGATGCAGGTTGCCATGAGTACTTGAGGAACTGTTTGTCAGGTCGCTTGCCACAGTTAAACTCGCCGTCGATGAAAGGACACGAGGATGTATCATACAAAGGGTAAGAAGCATCAAAAACCCATCGGCCTTGGAATAAGTTACATCCACTTCTCTGCTTCTTCCCCCTCAGTGACGACAACCCACCGGCCGCCGTGCTGTTGCGGTGGTTGGTATTCACGAGGAGTGTGTTGTCCGAAGCAAAGGCCTGCTCGGATCCCGACAAGATGAACACTGATAGAAGTGGAAGAAAAAGGAGAGAGATGAAGTTGAAACCCATCTTTTTATTAAAGAAGTGTCTTAAGGTTTTGGGTTTTTGTGAAGAAGCTTGTTGATGGGTTCAAGCTTTTATACACATATTTGTGTACGTATATCATATACGGTATATGTATACAAAATATTACGATAAAATGTTTTTAAACATATTCCTTAATATGCTTCAATAGATATTTATATTTTATTGTACACAATTATTAATTAATCCGTCCCTGCGGCGCGGTGGACTCGGCTCTACGTAAACTCGTTATATTTGCGAATCGATTTTACCAGTCTGCAAATATTCAACGTGAATTGAGTTACATCTTCTCGTTGTAGAATAATTTTAGAAAATATATTTATAAAAATATTTTTGTTTGAGTTTGTCGGGATCCGAGCAGGCCTTTGTTTAACTGAATTCAGTTATTTTCGACCAGAGACGGGCCTGGTGTTGAGCTTGTGACAGGTTTTTTTTTGTCAAAACTCAAAAGCATGTTCTAGATAGCCTTAGAGTCTTAATTGTAAGTGCCTAGACCGGGAATCTCCCGCATCGATCCATCAGGCAATTCGTTCCTGTATAAGAAATTGGACCGCGACAAAATGTTTACCAAGAGAATGTACACCAACAAATTTTTTGTAAAGTTATTAATTTATAAGAGTAATGGAAATTTTGGCATAATTTATAACACTAATGGAAAATTTGGTTTTTTCAATTCAACTAGGTTTCTTGTCCGCACATGTGGGTATAATTTTTTTACAAATACTTTTTAGTTTGTATTTTCTTAATTCAAAAATCAGTATAATATATTATTATTTATTTTAAATTTTTTTTTAAATCAAACATCAAATTAATTATAAATGACAACACTAAATTAGCAGAAATAATTTTAGAAAATATATTTATACAAATGTTTTTGTTTCATTCTTATTTAATTATAATTTTTATATCTTAATTTCAAAGTTTTATAATAAAATATATTTTCAAGATAACAATATAATATATAAGAAATATCTTATTCTTTAAAAAATAATATTATTAACATAAATGATTTTAATTATATAATAAAATCATATATAAAATTACTAAAAACATGACAAATAAAAATTTATCTAAAATCATGGAGAAGTTGAGAAATCAGCAAATTCAGTTCTCAAATAATAGTACCGATAGATAAATTTATGTTTTCCAAAAATTTAAATCGAAACATCACATTAATTATAAATGACACCACTCACTCATATATCAGAAATATTTTAGAAAATATTTTTATAAACGTTTATGCTTGATTCATATTTAATTATTAATTTTATCTCTGAATTTTTAAATTTTATAATAGAAAATATATTTTTAACATGACAACATATTACATAAGAAGTATCTTATTTTCTAAAAATATAATAGTATAATATAAATTCGTTTTAATTATATCTTAAATTATATAAAATTAATAAGAACATGAAAATAAACAAAATTGCCTAAAATCATGGAGAAATTGAAAAATTAGCAAATCTACTTCTAAAATAATAGTCAAGAAGACAAGATAACAACATAATAAATAAAAAAAATTCTAAAATATAATATTATCAGTATAAATTCGTTTTGATTATATAATAATTTATACAAAACTATGGGAAATTTGACAGGTCAGCAAATTAATAAAAATTCGTATTAACTATATAATAAATTATTAAAAACATGAAAATAAACCAAAATTATTTAAAATCATGGAGAAATTGATAAATCAGCAAACTTACTTTTCAAATAATAATACAGAATTTTTATTGAAAATATATGCATAATATACAGAGATTATGACAGAGTGCATATAAATTGTTAATTTTTTAATAATATCAAATATAAAATGTGTAAGCCAAAGCAAATCAAGTACATAAATATTAAAAAATTGAACTACAGAATTATAGTAGCATTTAAAAATAGATATTTAGAACTACTTGTTCATTTTTAGTTTGGTAATCTTATTAAAGACTAAATCTGCTTCTAACTTATTTTTCAAATGGAATATTTCAAAATTAAGTAACCGAAAATTAACATTGTTCAATAAATTAAACTGATTATACTAATACATTCATTTAATCATTTATCTCATCATACATTGATTTTTTTTTACTTATTAAGTTTCTAAATAAAATACATTTTCCCTTATATCTTGCATTTCGAACGTGTTCCATTCCATAACGTTTTCAAAATGGGAACAATACTTAGATCGGGTATGAATGGTGACCAATGAATGACGAGGAATAATCCATTTCCTAACCTTCCTAAAAAAATCATCATTTGCGAGGAATAATTTTTCCTTCTTGTTTTTTCTCATTCTTTTTTTTGTAGAGAGATACAAAACAAAATTATTCCTTGTTAAAATTGATAAGGAACAATCATTTTTTTTGTTCTTACAAATTTATTTCTACTCATTCATGTTCTTTTCATTTTTGTCGTTTCTATAGTGGTTATGGTCAAATTCATGTAACCTAAGTAGAAAAAAGGTATCTCAGAAGCTTCATAAAACTGCATAATTGGCTATGATTTAACTTCGGCGGGTCTTTTAATATAGCTTATTGCATAATAATGGAAAGAATATCTGTTATAATACGAGATTTCACACTGACGTGATTATGTCGTTGATCTCGTTTAGCAATCAAATTTTAATCATTTTGTAGAGAATGGCATTAAATAAATATAGGAAATGTTAAGTCAATCTCAATGATTAGTTAAGCGTTAAATCAGCGCTTTAAACGATACTTAATATGAGAAGAATGCAAAGAAAAATATAAGCTAATTAGGTACATACTAGGCATCTTTATAAGGTAGTATTAAATTAACAGTATATTATGTACGTATCAAAGCTTTAATAATAACTAGATTTTGACCCGCGCAACCGCGCGGGTGTTTGTTTTCGTTTATAGTTAATTATATAAACATTTTGTTTTCACTTGATATATATTATAGTAATCACATATTTACGATGTGTATAGTAAATGTTTTTCAAACATAATAATATTATATAATACGTGTTTTAATCAAATAGATTGTTTTAAATTTATATATTATACATGTTTTTCAAACATGTATTTGTTTCTTCTTCTATATTTTATTGTTTGTTAGATTAGTATTTCATTTTTAAATAAAGTAATATAAATAGAGCTTGATTAAATATTAGTATACTTTAATTTATAAAGATAATATAAATTAATATTATAAAGAATTGTATTAAAAAAAGAATTTTTTAAACAATTTAAAAAAAAACATTTTAAAAATTTACGTCGAAATAAATTTATCTAGTATATATAGCATGTAAATTTTGTTTGGGTATATAAATATTTCATATTACGAATCCGTGATTTTTGTTAATATATTGTGGCTGCATTTAACTATTATTGGCATATTTCCTTATAAATAATAGAAGATTCCTAAAATTATATCTATTGACATATTTTGCGTGACTAAATTGGAAGGTGTGAGATAATTTACCCAAACCAAATTGTTAAACGTATCTTTATTATTATAGATATAAATGTTTCATAAGATTATTAGAGAGTTAATGTAACATGATAAGATTATTAGAGATTTAATGTAACATAACTTTCTAGTAATAGTCCATTTTTTAAAAAAATCACACATGAAGTCAAGTCATGACTTCTGTTTTAATATATAAGACTAGATCTCGACCCGCACAACCGTGCGGGTATTTTAATACGAAAATATGTAAAATTATATAATATTCCATCCGTTTAAAATTAGAAGATGTTTTAAAAGATTTATTTTGTTTCAAAATATAAGATGCTTTGAAATTTTTAGGGGGTATCTTGAGGTTTTAAGATTACTTTTAACTATATTGTAAATTGTTCAACCAATAAAATTTTACTTTTTTTTAGTAATTGGTTGAATGATTTTAAAATTATCTTTAAAAATACTTTTGTAAAATAATATAAATTTCTTTTTTTTAATGATCCAAAAACATCATATATTAAGAAATAGAGGGAGTAAAATTTATCAATAACTAATTATAATTTGTAGTCTATATACTATTCAGTTTTATAATAATATTTACGTGGCTTATAGTATTATTAATATAAATTTTATAATAATATTTGTAACAATTTTAAAAGACATTATTATGTAACATTACTAATTTATATATTTTCTTTTATTTCTAAATTTAAAATATATGTAAAAGGTAAATTAAGTTGGACCTACATAATACATAAACAAAATTTTGGGATATTGTTAAAAGTAGTTCACATAATTTTAATTTTGTTATATAAATAAAAAAACAAATTAAAACTTTTAATTATATTTTATGATAATTAAAAATTTTAATCAAATAATTTTTGTATATCTTGAAAAGATTCTAAAAGATTTTTAAAAGATTTGTTAGAATTTTCTTAAAACTATTTATTTGTATTTCAAGTAAAAATTAAAGATATGAAAAGATATTATAATGATGTAGTGTAAAATTTTATAAAATTTCTAAGATAAACTAAAAAATCACATATGAAGTGAGTCATGACTTCTCTTTTAATATAATAGATTAGTAAAATATTAAAAGTTTACACAAAAACTTCGATCTGATAGTTGGCATCGACAGCCCACTATTCAATCGGTGTAGACAGTTAATGTCAAGCTTTTGGTTAAATTCTTATAAAAATTAGATGCAGAATCACTTTTGAGAGTAGAAGACAAAGATGAGTTTTCACCGTCGTGGGTTCACAAGTCACATGAAGAAAACACGTAGGCTGGGGAGTGTATACATAACATAATACTATGATACATGTGAGTGTATGTGTATGTGTATGTGTATGTGTATGTGTTTGGCATAGAGAAAGATCATGGAAGGATATGGGGAAGACTCATGAGTGGAAAGGGAAGCAGACTTTGTCTTCTAGGGAAGCTAAAATCTTTTTAACTTTTATCTAGCCAATACTGTATAGTATAACTTTTCTGTATGTATGTACAGAGTCATGTCTAGAGGTTTTTATGCCATAGGCTAAATAAAAAATATTTATTCT